AACGGTGAGGGTGGCAGCAGTCTGTTGGAGTGAGCATCCCCAAAGTTCTACAATGTGGCCGAGGACTTTGATTGTACATTGTTTTTTTTTTTTTTTTTTTTTTAATAGTCATTCCAAATACCGCGTGATGCGATGTGACAGGAAGTTCCTGCCTTCCCAAAAGCCGCCCCGCTTTCCCCAAAGGAGAAGGTCCCGGGCCCCACCCCCGGTCCCACAGGGTGAGGGATGTCGGCATGGCTTTCTGTGTAAATTATGTAATCCAAATTTTTTTCTTTTTCTTTTTAATCTTCCGCCTTAATACTTGTATTTTTTTGTTTTGTTTGGAATGGTCAGCCATGGTGGCCCCTCCTTTTTTGTCCCCCCAACTTTAGAAGTATGAAGGCTTTTGGTCTCCCTGGGTTGGTTGAACTGCGGAGATAGCCAGGGCTTACCTGTACACTGACTTGAGACCAGTTCAATAAAAGTGCACACCTTAAAGAAGCAGGAGTGGCTTGTGGTGATGTTGGAGGGGGGGGTGTGCCTGGAAAAGACACATGACCCAGTGGGGGTCACTGTATCCCCATCGTGTGCCTCTAGTGACCTTGGAGCAACCTGAGGGGAGTTGGGAGAGCTCCCGCTATGCTAAGTCCAATTCGCTGGAGTCACTAATAGGGGGCCCCCCTCCTACCTGCTGCCCCATGCAGTCTTACCTGGGTGTCTAGGTCCAGGCTGGCTTCGGGAGCACCCTCGTACCTGCTGCCCCGGGAGGGGAGGCTGCCATGGAGAGAACTAAGAATTGGTTTGGGATGAGGCTACTTAAGACATGTGCTCACCACTTAGCAGCTGAGGGAGGCTGCTAGACCACCTCCCCTGCTGCAGGACACCCGGCCCCCCACACAGGGCCCAGCTTTGGAGACGGTTCTGGGCCCCCATTGACCAGAAGTCTGGAGTCACCCTTGTGGCTGAGGGTGGGACCTGACCTGTCCAGTCTGCCTGGTTCTTTGAAGTACAGACCTGCCCTGCTGTTTCCCTGGGGCCCTGCAGGGCAAACCAGCAGCCAGGCTCCTGGGAGCAGTCAGTTCTAGGACTGACCAACAGGCCACTCTCCTTCCAGAGAAACCAAGCCTTGTCGTCCCTCCAATGTGAGTGGCTGGCAGGACTTTGGCAGAAGGTGGGGGGCTTGGGGAGATGCCCTTTGTTGCCCCGTACCTGCACAGAGGTACAGTCGTCCAAGCCTCAGGTTGGTGGAGTTTCTAAAGAGTGCCTCCCTCCATGTTCGAAGAGTGGGCCCCACGAGTGAACACTGCCCAGTCTCTTGGAGCTTGGGTTGGAGGAGCAAGGAGTGGCTTTAGTAGTCAAAGCTGGTCATTGCTGGTGGTGAAAGAGGCAGTCCTGAGAAACCACAGCGGCCTGCAGTTAGCTCACTGGGGGCTCATTTTCTACTGCAAATAGCAATGTTTGCTCAGTGCGGCCACCAGGCTCTTTAACAAAGGGCCCCTGCGCTGGCTGAGAAGCCATTTAAGTCAATCTGGATCTGGCTCCTGATGCCCCCGGGTGTTGAGAAAGTTTACAAAGCAGGTTCTGTTCCTGCTCAGAACCTGAGGCACAGATGGTTCTGTGTGTCCTGCTCTCCCTGTTAACACCCTGGTTCCTTGTTACCACTTGACCGCTGGGTTTTCAACGGCTGATTTTTCAGCAGATTGCCAGGCCTTTCAGAAGCACCCCTGGATGGGCTTGCGTTGCCAACCTTTCAGGTAGCAGGTGAGTGCGTTAACTGCGTGACCTGGGGACTGCAGAGATGAAGACCAGAGCTGGGGGCTTCCTGAAGTTTTTGTGGCCCCAACCTCCTCTGTGGTCACATTAGAGATCCCAGGAAGAAGGGTCTGTCCTGGGAAGTCCCTTCTGGACCAGTTCCAGCCCTCAGTCCGCTTCAGGGGCTGTTGAGCCAGAGGCCCTGGAAGTAGCTACTAAGTTTCCCCCTTGAACCTCTCATCCACTCAACAGGTATCCAGAAAGTGCCCACTGTATGCTGGGCCTGCGGCTACCGAGATGAGCTGGACACAGTCCTTGCCCTGGGGGAGCACTCAGTCTGCAAACAAGGACCCCGCTCATTCATTCATTCAACCCTTACTTTTTGGCTGACTTTGTGCCAGGTGTTATGCCAGGGGCCGGGCTACAGTGGAGAACAAACCTTACATGGCTGGTGCCCTCATGAGGTGCCCAGTTCAATGGGGGAAGAGAAATAAATACGGAATGCAGGAAACAGAATGAAAAGGAGAGAAAAAAGCAGAGGCTGGGCTCAAGAAACAGAACCATGAGGGAGCAGGTAACAGTCATTCTCTCGGTGATGGTGACCGTCACGGGTGTAGACACATCCAAAGTCACCCCGTTACAGGCTTTACAGATGTGTGGTTTATTGTGTGTCAATTACAAAATAGTAAGTTTAAAATACTAATACATCAGAACATCTTTAAATTTTTAAAATAAAGCCAATATTTGCCCGCAAAATGCATTGACTTGGAACACCTTTCTCAAAAAGATTATGTAAAATTAAGAATTCTATATACGTTTGGTGCTCAAGGCATTCGGCTTGTAACAGGTCCACGGTTCAAACTCACCAGCTGCTCCAAAGGAGGAAGGTGAGCCAATCTGCTTCCATAAAGACTGACAGCCTGGGAAACCCTATGGGGCAGTTCTACTCTGTCCCAGGGTCAATATGAGTTGAAATGGACTCGATGATGGGGGGTTCTAGATATATATATTGAAGGTGAGAGGGGATGTGGGAGGAGGGTGGTTCAGCGGCATCCTTGGCCATATGGGGGATTCTGAGACCCTGGGGGTGTGTGCTAGTGCAGGGTGTTTGAGCTCATGTTAGCAATTCTGGAAAAGGACCATCTTACCTACCTACTGTTCCTTAATTATGGATTTTGTGGAAACCATATATTAATATTGATTTACATTAGTTCCATGTATCTCTTTTTTAACTTCACACTTGCAAGAACCAAGTATTTTAAAATCCTTTGAATCAAAATATTCACTTTTTTTTTTCCCACAAATGAGACATTACAACTGACATAAAGTTGCTGTTTTTACTTAGGAAACACTCTCCCTCCAAAGGATTCAAAGGATTCCTCTTTATTTAAAGAAAATAAATAAAGCAAAAAAATAACAGTTGTAACAAAGATTGAAAAAGACGGCGAAAACCAATCATCATTTTTTCTCTTTTGGGCAAAAAAAAAAAAAAAGGAATAAAAGATCCTAAAATGGAGCATTCTGAGTACAGGAGTTTTCCTGGGGGAGGGATGGTTAAGCTGGCTGCATGTGTGTGTGTACGCACGCGCGTGCGTGTATATGTGTGGGAGTCACGTGGACAGGTGGAGGTGTGGTGTCTGAGGCTCAATCAAGGCATGGGGTGATGGGGACAGATGCCCCAGGGCGGAATGGGGAGGCCTGGGTGGGGCCGATCACTAAGGGATGTTAGTAGGGTGTTAGCTGTGTGCCCTTGAGAAGTCACGCGCTGTCCATGCTCTATCTGAAAAATGGGAACCTCACAGGCGGAGCTCTGGTAGCACAGTGTCTAAGGCATCTGACTGCTAACCAGAAGGTTGGTGGTTCTAACCCACCAACCCCTCCCTGGAAGCCACCTGGGCAACCTTCCTGCCTTGGAAACGCAATGGGGGTCGCCAAGAGTCAGAAATGACTTGACTGACTGTGGTTTTGTTTGTTTGTTTGTTTGTTTCAGGGACAACGTGGAGAGGTGGCTGTGAGCAGACACTCTGTCAGTCTGTTATTATTATTTTTTTAATTGATCTAGTGTGTGTGTGTTTAGTAACTATTTTTATTTGTTAAAGAGTCTTCTATGACTTCTTAGCCACTCCTCGGAAGGAAGGTTGGGCAATCCTACTTCCGTAGTGATACTGCCTCGGAAACCCAAGGAGGGGTCGCTATGAGTCGGGGCCGACTCGACGGCACATAACAACAACAACAACATGACTTCTTAAAAAATAAAATTGATTTTAAATCACCAACGTGACAGATGGAGGGAAATCCACAGGTGGGGAATGTCCCCCGTAATTTATCATTTATTGTGGGAATTCTACATGTACCAAACACTTCCATGTTACTGTTTCTTACACGTACAGTCCGGTGACATCAATGACCTTCGTCATGTTATTCAGCCATCACCGTGACCTGCTCCCAGTTTTCCATCATGATGACACTCAGTGTGCGCTCATCACTGACCTGCCCTCGCCCCTTCCATCTGGCCCTGGTAACCACTCATAACACTCTCTACGTGTTTGCCTGTCTCAGATATTTCACTCGACTGGGATCATACAATATATTTTCTTTTGTGACTGACTCTTTTTCTCTGTGAATCCTGAATTTTTGTGCCCAAAGCACACGGAGTGCCCACCAACCCCACCTCCCCTGTAGGCACCTACTCCCTCACACAGTTTCTCTTGTCATTAACATCTTGCCTTGCAGGGTCCATTTGCTACAACTAATGTAACACAGTTGATACATTCTTATTAAATGCCCTTCAATGGGTGAATAGATCACATAGTAACTCTTACAATGGAGTTATTCAGCAATGACAAGACTTGAGGCCAGAAAGAGACCTGGAGGAAACTCCCATGCATGTTGCTAGGGTCGCTGTGAGTGGGCACCAACTCCACAGCAATGGGTTTGGTTGGGCAAGTGAAAGGAACCTGTCTGAAAAAGCTACACATTGTGGCATTCCAACTAGATAACACTCTGAAAAACGCAAAGCTATACCCCAAAAAATTCAAACTCATTGCCGTCGCATTGGGTCCGACTCCCAGTGACCTCTCCTTGGGTTTCCGAGGCGGTATCGCTACAGAAGTAGATTGCCC